CACACTGATGGACAGCTACAAGTATTGAGATGACCCCCATCCTACCTTGCAGCAGCCCACACTGACCGACAGCTACAAGTATTGAGATGACCAATGTCCTACCTAGCAGCAGCCCACACTGACCGACAGCTACAAGTATTGAGATGACCAATGTCCTACCTCACAGCAGCCCACACTGACGGACAGCTACAAGTATTGAGATGACTCCCATCCTACCTTGCAGCAGCCCACACTGACCGACAGCTACAAGTGTTGAGATAACCAATGTCCTACCTAGCAACAGCCCACACTGACGGACAGCTATAAGTGTTGAGATAATCGATGTCCTACCTAGCAACAGACAGCTACAAGTATTGAGATGACCCCCATCCTACCTCGCAGCAGCCCACACTGACGGACAGCTACAAGTGTTGAGATGACCAATGTCCTACCTAGCAGCAGCCCACACTGACAGACAGCTGCAAGTATTGAGATAACCAATGTCCTACCTAGCAGCAATCCACACTGACGGACAGCTACAAGTATTGAGATAACCAATGTCCTACCTAGCAGCAGCCCACACTGACAGACAGCTGCAAGTATTGCGATAACCAATGTCCTACCTAGCAACAGCCCACACTGACGGACAGCAACAAGTATTGAGATAACCAATGTCCTACCTAGCAGCAGCCCACACTGACGGACAGCAACAAGTATTGAGATAACCAATGTCCTACCTAGCAACAGCCCACATTGACAGACAGCTGCAAGTGTTGAGATAACCAATGTCCTACCTAGCAACAGCCCACACTGACGGACAGCTACAAGTATTGAGATGACCCCTGTCCTACCTAGCAACAGCCCACACTGACCGACAACTACAAGTATTGAGATAACCAATGTCCTACCTAGCAACAGCCCACATTGACAGACAGCTGCAAGTGTTGAGATAACCAATGTCCTACCTAGCAACAGCCCACACTGACGGACAGCTACAAGTGTTGAGATGACCCCCATCCTACCTTGCAGCAGCCCACACTGACGGACAGCTACAAGTGTTGAGATAACAAATGTCCTACCTCGCAGCAGCCCACACTGACAGAACGCTATAAGTATTGAGATGACCCCCATCCTACCTCACAGCAGCCCACACTGATGGACAACTACAAGTATTGAGATGACCCCCTTCCTACCTCACAGCAGCCCACACTGACGGACAGCTACAAGTATTGAGATGACCCCCATCCTACCTCACAGCAGCCCACACTGACTGACAGCTATAAGTATTGAGATAACCGATGTCCTACCTAGCAACAGCCCACACTGACGGACAGCTATTAGTATTGAGATGACCGATGTCCTCTCTTGTTCTGTGGTGAAGCGGGCAATCTCTGCCAAAATCACAGCCTCACCGCCAACGCCAACACCTGCACAAAGAAATGCAGCATTTCATACAAAACTAAAATAGAACATCAAAATCTTCTCAGGCCCATATGCACGAATAAATGTCTTACCATTACTTGAGAGCAATATTTTAACTGAAAGAACACAGGTCATCTGCCTACACATTATGCTGCTCGAGAACTGTCAGCTCAAACAAACAATATGTCATGCATTTATAACTGATCCTCCGCTCAGGAAACATGACAGACTGGAACTTCAGCCATTGGTTGGCTGTTGGCTAACCCTCGTAAGAAGTTGACCTGCATGTGCCAAGTCTGGCGAACTCACCTGCAACCAGTCGACTGGCAACCAGGAACCACTTGGACATTCCTATGAAGTACATGAAGCTGCCTCCGATTTCGAACAGTGCAGCAAACAGTAGTATAACCCTCACTCGGCGCGACTTGTCTGCCCATCTACAAACACAAACAATCAAATATTTTTAAAATTTTAAGAAGAAAAAATTCAAAATATCAATTTTCCATCAGCAGCATCTTTAGTATCACAATGGCATTGTGCATTGTCTAAAATACTTTAAGCACATTTTGGGGGCTTACAGATCGTCTGACTAAAAGAATATAAAATTATATAATAAAAAAAAAATTATATTCAGGCATTTATCAAGTCTGAGGCACAAGATTTCCAAATTCCTAAGAATTTATGAAATTGCAGGAGAAAAAAGATATTTCATAGAAAACATGTAATTTATTTGCAAATTCACTGTCACAGCACTCTTGCGGAAACGTATCAGAGAATATTAATAACGTTAAATATCTATTCACAGCAAATTAAAAGAACCAATAAATCAAACAACTGTTTGTTAACCTGAACTCGCTCAAGGGACACGATGTAATTTTGTTTCAGTGAATAATACTCAAATTCTCTTCTTTGTCGCCCTGAACATGCTGCCACTCATCAATGCAAGCGGATGAGTGGCCACATAGCATTCCCTACCTGCCCATCAGGGGCCCAGCAAACATCCCTGAGAAGCTGAAGGCGGACAGCATGAGACCCAGGAAGTACTCCTCCGCACTGAAGCGGTTGTGGAGGTACAACCAGGCACTGGGCAGGATCACAGCTGGAACATGAAGCCATACAGATCAGGGTCATGTGAGTGAGTGAGTGAGTGAGTGAGTGAGTGAGTGAGTGAGTGAGTGAGTGAGTGAGTGAGTGAGTGAGTGAGTGAGTGAGTGAGTGAGTGAGTGAGTGAGTGAGTGAGTGAGTGAGTGAGTGAGTGAACGAGTGTGTGAGTGAGTGAGTGAGTGAGTGAGTGAGTGAGTGAGTGAGTGAGTGAACGAGTGAGTGAGTGAGTGAGTGAGTGAGTGAGTGAGGGTGGGTGGGTGTTTGGGTGGGTGAGTGAGTGGGTGAGGGGGTGGGGTGGGTGGGTGAGTGAGTGAGTGAGTGAGTGAGTGAGTGAGTGAGTGAGTGAGAGTGAGGTTTAATGCTGGTTTTAACAGTATTCCAGTTATATCACGCCATGTCAGCTGAATGTGAGAGGAAAGCACAGAGTGATACAGGTCTTAAATCAAAAGATTCATTTCCAGGTCAACAATTTTGCTTTAAAAAATGTAAGGGGTTTGCAATAAATGCCTTTCAACAATACTGAAATCAAATGATTTCACATAATTTATCTATATTTGCATAACTGAACAATCTTCAAGTTAACATCAGACACATTAAACCACAAGCTCACCAAGACACACTGAAACTGTTCAAGAGTGGGAGATGGGTTTAACGTTGCTTTAAACAGTATTCCAGTTCTATCACAGTGTGGGGGGCGGTCGGGTAGCCTAGTGGTTAAAGCGTTTGCTCGTCACGCCGAAGAGCCAGGTTCGATTCCCGACATGGGTACAATGTGTGAAGCCCATTTCTGGTGTCCCCCGCCGTGATATTGCTGGAATATTGCTAAAAGCGGAGAAAAACCATACTCACTCACTCACTCACTATCACAGTGTGTCAGCTTGATGTGGGAGGAAAGCTTGAAGTGATGCCTATCTCAGATGTTGAGCACTTTGGTGAAACCCATGAGCACAGGTATGGTGCTGACAAACCAAGAAAACATAATCGGGGCAAAATAGGATTTGAACCCACAATCATAGGTTTCTGGTGTGCCCATGGGGCGCCACCCTGCACAGCGGATTGGGTCACCCATGCTCATGATGATGATGATGATGATGATGATGATGTAGACAATAATTTAATTTAATCTTTATCATATTTATACTTCACCTCACAATGTTACTGCCAAACCTGCATACATGTATCACCAGTATATGCAACTTGAGTAGCAAAGCCATCTAGATTCACTATATCTGCACATGTTCCGTAAAAACTAATTTGAAGTGTTTGTCCTGTTTCCATGGTAACATTTGGCCTAACTACTTTTTTTTATTGTTGTTCAACACTGCAATTAGCAATAATCTTGGTATATCAATCGCCTGTAAATAATCAAGATTGGACCAAACAATCCAGTAATTGATATTATGTTGGTTTGTTGCTTAACGCCGCACTCAGAAATATTCCAGCTATATGACGGCGGTCTGTAATCGATATAATCGAGTCTGGACCAGACAATACAGTGATTGACAACATGAGCATCGATCCACGCAATTGAGATCAATGACAGGCATCAACCAAGTCAGCGAGCCTGACCACCCGATCCCATCAGTCGCCTCTTAAGACAAGCATAGTCGCCTTTTACGGCAAGCATGGGTTGCTGAAGACCAGTTCTACCCCAATTGATATTATGAGCAACATTTATTCCCCTGTGACACCGTGCAACAGACAAGGCCTGTGTTCCTCCTAAGGGTAAAACCAGTGCAATATATCATCATATTGTGACAGGTACAACCATTGTACATACTTATTTTATTCATCTTCAGTGTCTGCTTTTTAGTGTTCAACTTGCACAAACATATAGTGTCTAGACAGGGAAGGAAGACATGTTTGTTGATGGACTTATTGTAAACAGACACATTTAGATTTAACCACCTTGTGTGTCCTCAGAACATGTATAATCTACATATTATTGATGTGCCATCCGTTGGAAGCATGCTCAAAGTGCTACTGAAATAATCATATTTGCTCATAGTCCTTAAAAATCAAAGTTATTGATAATGTAAATTATACAAACAGATTATTCAAAACAACAGAAAAAAAATGGCAATAACTGGTCTGTAGCCAGAAAAATATATCAACACTGATGGGGTCACCTTCTACTACATGTATGTACTTGGGTACTTTTGAGGGAATGAAAGGTACCCCCAGTGTCTAGCCGGGAGAGCCACATTTCAGAAATGGCTATTGCCGGTAGAGCCACATTTTCAGCTGAGTGCATTTCACCTATTCTAGCGGGTAATTACTTAATCCGATTACCGATACCTTTATATGAGTGTCCCACATTTAAATTACTAAGCGTGGTGTTCTTTAGAGATACCTTTAAATGAGTGTCCCACATTAGTTGGACTTTGAATGTGCAGCTCACAATGCCGTGACTGATGTATTTCCTGGGACATTAGTTAGAGGGTGTTTCTTTCACTTCACCCAATGTATCTGGAGGAGGGTGCAGAAAGAAGGTCTGGTGATGGACTATAAGGAAGATGAGGAGGTGAAGAAGCTGGTGAGAAGAGCTGCTGCCCTCCCTCTACTACCTCGTGACAAAGTGGATGATGTGTGGCTTGATGCCATTGCTGACTCTCCTGCTGGCCCTAAAGTGACTGCCTTCATGGACTACGTGACAACTAGTTGGGTTCAAGGAGGGGCCTTCATGCCAGAGATTTGGAACCATTTCGAAAACCAAGGCCACCGTACCAACAATCACCTGGAAGGGTGGCACAACAAGATAAAGAAACTTGCCAAGAAGTGCCACCCGAACATCTAGGAGGTAGTGAAGCTATTTCAGCGAGAGCAGTCACTCAAAGAGGTTGCAGTCCTGAGACTCTCTCACCAGTGGTCAGAACCTTCACGAAGAAAGAAGTACAAGGCAATCGATGCACGTATTGCGTCCCTCAAGATCCAGCTCCTGAACCAACACCTGAGTGAGATGGAATATGCTGACCACGTGGGCGACCTCCTTCATCTGCAGTAATGACATTAAATCCATTATGATATTCATATTCTATTCATATTCATCAATGTAAAGTTTTGATGAATATGTTATCCTTGTTGAATAAAAAATGAGAAAACAAGACTTGTTTTGTTATATACGGTAACCTGTTAGAATCACAAAGCATGTTTTGACAGCATAGCCACGAGAGCCACATTATACAATCACGCAACCATAACCATTGCCGCGAGAGCCACATCAATTTGAGGACATATCTATACACATTTCTGAAGATTGAGATATTACAAAAAGTGCATGTTAATTAATTTCTTCAACCTAAACAAACTGACAAAGAGAACGGTGGAAGCACATCGGATGTCGTTATTTCGAAATACCCCTGATAATTAGTTTAACCTAAAAACAAGAGTCATCAGATGATATACCCCCTGTCTGGTGCAGTTCGGAAATGGAGTTCGGCTACTTATACCATGTATACCCCACTTTTGGTTCATTGCCATTGGATACCTTCACTTCAGTGAAGAAAACAATATTGCTGTGCAGTGTTTTTCGAAATCCCAAATCATCAAAAAGCACCAGTTCACCACGAGACTGTGTATAACAAGTTTCATCCAGAAATATTCAACAGTTTTGGAGTTCTGCTCCGGAAACAAGCACTACCCTCATTTTCAGTAAAGTCCAACTTGTATTCAAAGAGAAGGGGTTGACTAAACCGCAAAATGAAACCCTCATTTGAACCATGGTTCAACTTGTTGACACAAAATCTTAAAAACCCACCTTAACAACAAACCTATGAATTCAACCCTTGCTTTATACAAAGAACTTAGAAACATTTTATGAGTTATGCTCTGGAGTCAATCCCTACCCTCAGTTGAAGTCCAACTTAATGCCATGGAAACGGGGGAAAAACCAAAAAAACCTGGATAGCACACGGCTCCGGTTCAGTGTGTGCCTGATGTGTATTCAAAGTTGCATGCATATATATTGAACAGTGTATGAGTTATGCTCCGGAAACAAAACATGACACTGACTACATTTCTACATCACCTGCAAAACTTCTTTTGCGTGTGGCATAATAAAACCAACCATTAAAGTAAATGTGTATCTACAATAATGTACAATTATGTGCTTTAGGATACATCAAATATGTGTATGCATTGTTTTTGCAACAATGAATGAGTGAGTATGGTTTTACGCCGCTTTTACCGATATTCCAGCAATATCACGGCGGGGGACACCAGAAATGGGCTTCAAACATTGTACCCATGTCGGGAATCGAACCCGGGTCTTTGGCGTGACAAGCGAACGCTTTAACCACCAGGCTACCCGACCGCCTTTGCAACAATGGAGTTGCAACAACGTTTATTTTTCAGGCAACTAAATTGTATATAAAACAAATTACTACTCCCTTGTTTTAATCCATATTTCAAGGTATAACCCTACACCTGTGTATTTTCGTCATTCACTTGAAGCTCAGTTAATGAATTTATTACAGGTATAATTAGTGGTTGTGTTGTAAATCATACTTTTTCTCTTTTGGAAATACACCCTACATTCAAACTATGACTAAGGGAGTACCTCAAGACCAAGTGTGTTTAGCTCATTGGCTGATGCAGCATTGTCAGCCATGTTCCTACGAATGAAGAGATACTGACTCAAATTTCTCAGGTGTGTATTACAATTTACGGTTGAAATAAGGCCGCAACTTAAGTTTGTTTGTTGTTTAACGCTGCACTAAGCAATATTCCAGCTATATCACCATGGTCTGAAAATAATCAAATCTGAACCAGACGCTCCAGTTATTGACATGAGCATCGATCCATGCAAATGGGATACAATGACATGCTTTAACCAAGTATGCAAGCCTGACCACCCGATCCCGTTAGTCACCTCTTATGCCAGGCATAGTCACCTTTTATGGAAAGCATGGGTTGCTGAAGACCTATTCTAATACAGATCTTCATGGGTCTAAATAACAGAGAGAACTACGTAGATAAATAGACACTTTCTTGTGA